CCCCCACACACACACACACACACACCCAAAAAAATGCCCGTGCCTTTTATTTTACCAGCCTTTCAACGACCGACGTGCCGGAATGAACGACCGGTATAACCAAAGACGATGAAATTGCCTCAGGGGAGAAAAACGCAACCCTGACGGGCTGCGAACGTCCAGAATATGGTAGTCCTAGCGTGAGAGTACACTCAAGTTCCAAGACTTGCATGGATGGCAGGCTCCGGGAAGTCTGTCTGGATCCCCTTTCCAACCAGGTCGAGTTATCGGGCTTAGGCCTGGACTCAGATGTCCGGGAACTCAAATTAGCGGCTCCCCTTGTTCGTGGCTTCCAGGGTTTTTGGGGCCTCTAAAGCGGGGGGTGGGGTCGGGGGGGGTATCAACTCATGACTTTCTTTCATGTGGGTATCAGACCTTTAAAAAGTATCTTCATGGCTTTCTTTCATGTGGGTATCAGGCCTTTAAAAACTATCTCCCACCTTTCTCACCTGTAGTATTCAGTAACTACAGTCTTCCCCCGAATACAACGTATGGTCATTATAGCTGAATTTAGACTGAAAGATGGACCAAATTCGGCTATAATGACCGTGCGTTGTATTCGGGGGAAGACTGTAGTAACTACTCTTGGGCGCAGAGTTAGATGCGCGGCAAAAGCCAATGCTGCCCTGTTCATGGCTGAAATTTTGTTCATGCCTTCACTTTGTTTTTCTTTTTTTTTTGCGTGGAATTTTGTCAATGCCTTTTTTTTTTTTCGCACTTCAAAATCACGATGCCGTTTACGTCGTCATCATTTTCTTCCCTCTTTGTGTCCGACACTGCAGCAGGCGCGAAAACAGTGCAGCTTGCAGGGTCGGAAAAAGAGGAGAGACCTACTGCTGCTGGGAAGCTCGACGAGGGGCAAAAGCTGGAGAGCGAGGTCCGGCACGACGCATCGGTACCGATCAAGAGTTGCGGAAGGAGTCCCGATGAGGGCGGCGAAAGCTCAGAGGAGAATACAGATGATGAAGAAATGGAGGGGACGAAAAGACCATCGGGAACGAAGCAAGCGGGTTTGAAAGACGAGGTCAAGGTGCACCACCGTCAAGGTGGAAGGAAAAAACTGCACGAACTGGGGAAGGCAAAAGGAGGTGCAGGCTTGGGAATTGCAAAAGGAGGGCAAATCAAAAAAGCCAGTAAGGGGTCGACAACGGGCTTGAAAGGGATTTTGAAACACTCGGGAAAGGGCAGCACTAAGAAAGCGAAGAGGAAACACGTGAAGATGGCGCAGTAGCGGGAGACAATGGACAATGGACAGTGGACACGGGAAGCATAAAGGTGAGCAAAGATTGATTAGAACTGTTCTCCTTTTTTTGTTTGCTTTTTTTTTTTCTTTTTTTTTTCTGAAAAAGATGACAGTATTTCATTTTATTTGTGTAATTCCATTTGGATTTGAACTCAGGTCTGTCTTTCAATAGTTCATGGGTGTATCAACTGAGCTAGGCCCGTTGGTAAGCGATCCTTTCACCTACACGACTACCTACTTTTTTTCGTGATCATACACACACACACACACACACACACACACACACAGACAGATAGATAGATAGATAGATAGATAGATAGATAGATAGATAGATAGAGATAGATAGAGAGAGAGAGAGAGAGAGAGAGAGAGAGAGAGAGAGAGANAGAGAGAGAGAGAGAGAGAGAGAGAGAGAGAGAGAGAGAGAGAGAGAGAGAGAGAGAGAGAGAGAGAGAGAGAGAGAGAGTCTCCCCGAATATGCATATTCATACGAGTGAAAGCTGGAAATCTTCAGTACCCGTCTCCAGCTCTTTGACCCCTTCCCCTGCTTTTAGGCTGGTGTTAATTTGTTAAATAAAAAAACACGACAATAATTCATTTACGAATTTCATTCACTAAATGGACCAGTAAACCCACCACATTTCGAAAGATGCAGCTGTACAGAGGGAGGGGGCGCACGAGTGTGGTGCTCGGTGAAGGGTTGAGCCTGCTACCGGGTGGAGGGTTATAAGTGAAAACTTAAAACTCTTAGGTTATGAAGCAGGGGCAATGGAGATAGAGAGGATAGTAAACGCCACCACTTCTCCTTTTTCCCTCGACGCCTTCCACACAGTTACGATCACAGTATGAAGCAGGGGCAATGGAGATAGAGAGGATAATAAACACCACCTGAAAAATGTACATGCTTCACCGTAACATACAAGAATCAACGTCGGACAAACCACCGCGAAGAACAGTGTTCAAGTCCTCCCACACAGTTACTCTCACAGTTTGAAAGAGTACATTCTTCAGCTTCACAAGTAAAACCCGAGAATGAACAATCGAGAAGCCACCCCGCGAAGAACAGTGCTCAGTCCCCCCCTCCCCCCTCCCCCCCCCTCCCCCCTCTTCCACACAATAGTTATCAGGGTTTGAAAAGTGTGCAGGCTTCACCGTGACACCCAAAGATCGACAGGCGAGAGACCACCTCACCTTGACGAAGAGCGTTCTAGTTCTCTTCCCTCTCTCCTACTTCACCAGCCTCCAACCCTATGAATACCGCCTTGCCCTATATAGAACCAATGGTCATTATATCTGTATCTGGACCAACAATCAGTCTAATGACTCTGCATTTACGGCAAATAAATAACTGTACGTTCTATTCAGGGGAAGACGGCAACCGCCCAGTATCAGGTCCTGACTGCCTGCCTTTGCCCCTGATGGGCTAGTGCTACTCCAATGACCATAGCCCAGTGCTCGTGGCTGCAGCGTGGCGCAAGCGCATGAAGTCTTAGACACCCGTGGAGAGAGTCACGTGTGATGTCCTTCAGTCCGCGTTCAGACAGCCTACTGTCGTCACATGAATGGAATGCCCAGTGTCATTACCGCTGTATCTAGACTGAAAATTGCCTCAGATACCGCTATAATAAACAGCCGTTCTATTTGGGTGACGATGGTGGTGGCATCCACCGATACGTCCTTCGATTGGACTAGGTGGACTTGCGCATTGATGCCCAGCCAGTCAGCCTGCCCTCTGGTCGGTCCTATTTAAGGAACTGTGCCCAACCTATTTCAGGAACCGGGCCTGGAATTGGACTTTACGTGGGCGGTATCGCTGTATCTTTCCACACTTCCGGACAAGATACAGAAGTATTACTGGGATATTCTGGTACCCTGTGTTCCTTTTAGGCCTATCAGGCGATGACCGAATCCATTTTAGGAAAATAGTTGTCAGAGTGTCCCAGGAGCGGACATTGCAGAGATATCCCCACTTGGCAATTTCGAAAACAAACAAGGACGGACAGATAATTTTTTAAAATAACAAGGGCAGAATTGAAAAAACATAGCGGCATCTACATAGTTTAGTAGTTTACAGTTATGGTACGCCTTGCAGGTGGCTGCCGAACTGTCGTTTCTTGCATTTTTATTTGCTTGAGCAGCTTTTCTTCACGGGCACTATAGCTTGGTTATTTTTGGAATACGTTTCAGTCGTTCGCACCGGCATATATGCAATCACGGGACCACCCTCCCTCAATAATGAGAAGGCTGACAGAGCCGCCATAGTAGGAGGGGAGGGAAACGTACCCAGCCAGGAACTGAAGGGCGGCAGTCATGAATCGATGGCAGAAGGTGTGACCTCTCCACAACCAGATTGCTGGACTTGCGGGCCGAAGCTTGAAAGTCTGGCAAATTTACTTAAAAGTTAAAAAGCACTAGTACCTTTGCCAAGCGGGAAAATAGTGGGCCTCGGGTGGGCCTCCGACCTTTTAGGACACTTTGTGAGTTCAAAGAATAAGAATATGAGCACGTGGGTGCCGGAAAAGAATACGGTGACCGCTTGGGCCGTGGCAGAACGAACCTGGATCCACATACAGACAGGTGCATGATCTGTACCAGGAAGATAGGTGCACAGACTGGCTAAGTCTGTCCGGAAGGCTGTCCGGCTGCCGGAGCAAAAAGAGGGGTGCCAGGTGGATTTTTCGCCTTTGGCCACGGGCCCTTTTCAGGCCCAGTGGCCAGCCTGGTGCACTGGGCGCAGCTCCCAGAGCGGCGATGGAGTTTCAGAAAAGATCTCCGCCTATTTTTGTCATTTGGGGAGGCTGTGAAGTGACGACGACACTCGTGCGAGTCTTAATGCTCCATTGCAGATAATTCTGTTTCGACTCCTGAGTCTGTTTCAGTCTGTTTGAGTCTGTCCGTCCGTCCTTTTGAGTCTGTGTGTTTCTGTTTTGAGTCTGTTTGATTCTGTTTTAAGTCTGTTTTGGGTCTATCTTTAGTCTGCAGGGGGGTTGGAGTCTGTCTAATTCTGTTCTGAGTGACTGTCGAGTCTGTTTGAGCCTGTCACTGGACTGTTTGAGTCTGTTTGAGCCGGTTTTGAGTCGATGCGAGTCCCTTTTGAGTCCCTTTTGAGTCTCTTTTGAGGCTCCCTCTTTTGAGTCTCTTTTAGTCTACAGGTCCGTTTGATTCTGTTTTCAACCTGTGTGTTCGAGACTGTTTTGAGTATGTTCTGAGGCTGTTTGCATCTGGTTTGCGTGAAACCTAAAAGTGTTTTATAAACGAAAATCAGCCCGGATTCGGACAGAGCCAGGTGGGTGCAGAGGTGCCTGTCCAGGGTGCCCTGTGCAGTTGACCGCCGGGCGACTTGCCTGGGTGTCGCTGCCGTGCTGCACAGCCGGGCGGCCCAAGTAGCGTAGCCAGGAAATACTCTTTTTTGTTTTTTTTTTGAATTTTGACCGTTTCTCGATTTATGCGTTATGCGTGTCATCTTTGGGCAGGGGGCATGCAAATCTTCTCTGTATCGTTCCAATTTTAACGGGATGTCCCAAAGGGACACCAGGAACTGCTTTCTGACTGGGAAGGAGTGGTGAGTTGCCATTTGGCTGGGGCTCCCGCTCATGTAATGCCCACATGTTTGCTCTGCTCAGGTTGAGGGTATGGGTTTGCATTGCAAGTGTATAATGTATATATATTATATACATACTGACTTTTCGTTGTCCGAAATGTCAATTATGTATGCTGCCGTGCTGGATGTGCGGGCCACGTTTGGTCATTGGTGATGTCTGTGCTAACATCCTGAACGACTGTCCGTCCGGACCACA